CACAGAAGTTGTATAAAATGGAGGAAGCCTAATGAGGCTGGATGTAGCCCAAAGTGTTAAGCTGCCTGTCTCTGGTATATATGAATAGTGGGGAAAGAAGTTGTGCACATTTTCTCATTGTAGGTATGCACACTTGTATACTGAATATGGCATCTGAATTATGGATTCTGAACTTGAATATGTTTCTGAAGAAACACTTTTTAATTCATTGGTAGTAATGAGAGATGCAATACATAAAATGAAGTGCTGTTGCAGTAAGATTATATTAGCCACAGAACACTCGCATGGTACATGAAAGTAATTACACAGAGCAAAGAAGTGTGGCTTTTTTCTTTATTATACAGCATCAAATTGGAGGCTCACCTGTCTCTTCCTCTTGTGCTCTAATTTCTTCCCAAGATTATATTAGCCACAGAACACTCGCATAGTACATGAAAGTAATTACACACAGCAAAGAAGTATGGCTTTTTTCTTTATTATACAGCACCAAATTGGAGGCTCACCTGTCTCTTGTGCTCTAATTTCTTCCATCATTTTCTGATTTGCTGTAAATCATGTTTTGTTGTTATGGTTGCAACCAAACCATAGGCAAAACAGAGGTACCATTAAGACTAGATGGCATGGCCTGAGTCAGGAGGTTTCAAACAATAAATTGTCATAGATCACAAGCTAAATATGAGCCAACAGTGTGATGTGCTACAAAAAGGGCAAATGCTATTTTGGGCTGCATTAATATAAGTATAGTTTCCAAATCCCACAAGGTGCTAGTCCCCCTGTATTCAGCACTGGTTAGGCCTCACCTTGAGTACTGTGTCCAGTTCTGGACACCACACTTCAAGAAAGGTGTGAACAAATTGGAACAAGTTCAGAGGAGGGCGACAAGGATGATCAGGAGGCTGGAAACCAAGCCTTATAAGGAAAGGCTGAAAGAATTAGGCATGTTTAGCCTTGGGAAAAGAAGGCTGAGGGGTGATATGATAGCACTTTTAAAATATCTGAAAGGCTGTCATACAGAGGAGGTGCAGGATATGTTCTCGATCATCCCAGAATGCAGTACACACAACAATGGGCTCAAGTTAAAGGAAACCAGATTTTGGTTGAATATCAGGAAAAAAATTCCTAACTGTTAGAACAGTACGATAGTGGAACCAGTTACCTCAGGAGTTGGTGAGTGCTCCAACACTGGAGGCATTCAAGAAAAACTTAGATAATAACCTGGCAGATATGTTTTGATTGTATTCCTCTGTTGAGCAGGGGGTTGGACTTGATGGCCTTGTAGGCCCCTTCCAACTTCCTTTTTCTATGATTCTATGACCTGCCAGGTGCAGATGTAGATGATGGAGGCCAGCAGTGTCAGTATCTTGCATAGGCATAACCATAATGCTGCCAGTCACCAGAGTGATCCCTCCCTTCTTGTTTCCAGACATTTACAGGACTTTGACAGTGAGGCCCACTGAGCTGAAAAGCACCAACACTTCATGCACATCTAACAGTCTCATTTTCCTCAAATGCCTGTATGTCGCATATAGGCCCATAGGCACTGTGTCAAAACAAAAATGGCGGGTGCCTTGCCAGTAGATTTTTATATGGTGCACCCTGTTGCCCAGCCTCTTCAGATGTGAAGAGTAAAGCTCCAGCACCTTGCCCAGGGGCCCTTCAAACCTGGTGGCACTTGTAACCGCAGACCACATTCAAAGCTCAAGGCTAACTTACAAGAGCTATTGGCTGGTTTTGCTCATGAATGGTCTGGACTGGCTGTGAGAACCACAATTTATAATTCTGTTTAGGAATTAAGACTGAGATTTTTAGAAATTCTTAGCACTGAACTTGTTCAGTGTGGCACTTTGCACAAATGGTACTGCAAATATACAGTGTCAGTGTCTGAAATCCTGCTGATGAAATGCCTTGATTGACAATAGACTCTCATATAAAGAACCTGGTGTTTTGAACTACATTGGCATTGGTCTGGTATTGTCTACTTGTATGTAGTCTGACTCTGATCTGTCTTAATCTATCTGCTACTTTGTTTTTCTTCCCTTTTTTCAGGTTTTAAGTGTTGATTATTACTTTCAAAGTCTGTTTGCCTGAGACAGTGCTGCATAGGTGGTTAGAGAGCTTTAGTGCTTGTGTTAATATTGCAGTTCTGATTTGTTTCTTTGTGTGGGTATCCAGTTCTGTTAACAAAGACAACCAGGAAAATGAGAGTCCTAACCAAGCAAGTCCTGCACCAACAGATGAACTTTCTGAAGCCCTGAATACTTTAAAAAGTGAAAGCAGCAAAGAGAATCACACTAGTGACTCAGATTCAGATGGACCTATACTCTACACGGATGATGAAGATGAAGATGATACAAGCAGTGAAAGTAAGATGGTTAAATAAGCAACAGTTAGTTATTTACATAGTGGAAAAATCATGCTTTTTCTTTGCCACCACTTGAATGTTTAGGTTTCCAGTCTTAAATGCATTTAAAACATGCTTGGAAATAATGTGTCCAGAATTACAGTGACAATCCAGTAATGGTTAGAGTGTTGGACAGAGACTTGGGAATCCAGATTTTAGTCCCTACACAGCCACAAAATTCAGTAAGTGGCCTCAGGCCTGTTACACACTCCCAGCCTCATGCATCTTACAGAATTGCTGAGAGGATAAAATGGAGAAAAGGAGAACTGTGTATGCTGCCTTCAGCTCATTGGAGGAAAAGTGAGATGTACACATAACTAATAAATAAATGACAACAATGAATTAAGAAGAGAGGCAGAGGAAATGAGAGCTGACCTCAGTGGCACTCTGTCATACAAGGCTGTGGTCCCCAACCCCCGGTCTGCAGCCCAATACCAGGCCGTGGCCTTGGCAGGACCGGGTCTCAGAGACGGATCTCCCACACGCCCCCCTCCATGCATGCACACATGCAGGGCCCCCCACGTGCACACACAGGTGTGCTGCCCAACCGTGTATGCAGGGGTGCCCCGCCTACCCACCTCCTCACCCTGCCCCCCAACTGGTCTGCAGTTCAGAAAAGGTTGGGGACCACTGATGCAAGGGATTAAAGGCTATGGCACATTGTTTCATAGGCACTAAGGAAGGTAACAACCTATCTTTCAGGTTATTCCTTTTCTGTGGTTATCAGAGGATGAAGTGGCTTGAAACTGTTTTGCTTCTGATATTCATTAAAATTCCATCATTAAAAAAGGAAAAAGATACAGTTAGTCCATGTGTTGCAATTGAACATTCTTGGTGGAATATGACATGTTTAAACCTGAACAGCAATGAGTGAACTAAAACTCACTCCTGCTGCCTTCTTCTCCCTCCACCTCACCCCAGGTTCTTTAGCAAGTAAAATACGCCGTAGAGATACTCTTGCAATCAAACTTGGCAACAGGCCATCAAAAAAAGAACTGGAAGACAAAAACATCTTGCCAAGAGCATCTGAAGAGGAGAGGCAGGAAATTAGACATCAGATCGGCACAAAACTAGTGAGGTATGAGTTGTAATCTCAGCGAGTCTGGGAGATGCAGCGTGGGAGCAAAAACAAAGGCCTGGCTGGTCCCTGCCACAGCCATTGTTTCCCCTTTCTTTGACCTGAAGACAGGTCTTAATACCATGAAAGAAATAAGTTATACTTCACAGTTATGAACTTGTTACAAACACATTACATTTAGTATTGATGACTTTCTTTTCAGCAGAATAGAGGGAGTTCACTAATCCCATTCCTTCTGCAACTATGACAGTATTGGCAGTAGCTTTCTTGGTCACATTTCAGTCTGACTCATTCACACTTCTGTTAAACCTAGAGAATCTCTCTCTCTCTCTCTCTCTCTCTCTCTCTCTGTCTCTCTCTCACACACACACACACACACACACACACACACACACACACACACACACACACAGAGAGAGAGAGAGAGAGAGAGAGAGAGAGAGCACATCACAATTCAAGTAACTTAAGATACATTGGAGATTTTTTTTGACAACGTGCATGCACATAACTTTTGTATTACTATGAAGTTATCTGATATGAATCAGAGAGCATTTTGCTTTGAATGAGCAGAAGTTTCTTGAGGTGAGCGTTAAATATGCATGCATTTCAAAACACTGGTTCCTCTTCATACCAAAGCAAATATACACAGCTATTATTATTATTATGTGTTTCTTAAGTTGATTCCAACTTCCAGCAACCTTATGGCTAGTACCCTGTTAAGTAGCTCTGCTTCTGTAGTAGGGGTGATGTCACAAGCAGCAGCACTAATTGAAAAGTTCCTGATTCAGTCTTGGGTTCTTTGTGATTTCATCTTATTCCACATGATTTCCATGCAATCAAAAGCCAAAGCAAGAGTTCTTTAATTAGCAGCAATCTGCCACTGCTAGAGATATCATTCCTGCAATGCCAGTGGAGCTATGGAAGTCATACTGACCTATGAAGTCTGACCATTATAAGTATTAAATGTCAGTTTAATTACAAAAAATCATTTGAAAATCTATCTATCTCTTTCTGAAATGGGTTCTTTTGATTTTATGTCTTAAAAACTGATATTTTAATGTTTTTATTATTGATTTATTTGCAGGAGACTTAGCCAGAGGCCTACTTCTGAAGAATTGGAACAAAGAAACATCCTGAAGCGTAAGCATTCCAATCTGACTGATGTCTGGCCAGGCCACATAGTAGTGGATTTACATTCTGAGAGTCGCTGGATTTCAGTAGCATTCTGGCATTATATTCAGTTATTACATTAATAGGCTTCACTGAGAATAAGGTGAAGTTCAGAAGGCCAAAATGTCTCATGACATACTCTCTTCCTTCTATCAAAGTGCTCTTGAATTTAATTCAGTGTCATTGTTTCTTTGATACTTAATTCCTGTGCACTTTTTTTCTATATGAGATATGAATTATCTACAATCCTTGTCTGACTTTCATGATGATGCAGAATGTCTGGCAGGCTCTGCCCACACATTTGTTGCTTAGGTAGAAAGGAAGTGGTGCCATGCAGCCTGAAAAGGCAAAGAGTAAAGAGCTGAGATAATATCAAACAAATTGAAAGCAGAGATCCTATCAGACCCATGCTTTCCAAAGCAAGGAACCCTTGAGCAGTGAGGAAAAGGGGTGGACAGGGATCCACTAGGGATGGGATTCTTGGAATTCAAGGGCTCCCAGTCCCATAATTTGGCAGGGACTCCCTAAGTCGAATTATAGGGCCAGAAGCCCTCAAACTAGAGGAGGTAGAGCAGCCGCTTCACCTTCCTGCACCACTACTTCAAACCATAAGTGAAGTGCCTTACTGCAGTGTGGGAGTTGTTTGTTTGTTTGTTATTAGACTTTTACCCTGCCCCCCTAGACAACGTCTACTCGGGGCGGCTTACGTGGATAAAAACACAACAATATGACAATATAAAAATCATCTAAAACACAATTTTAACACTTATTTCTAAGTGTTGTGAGGGTTCCCTGCTACTCACAAAGGTGCATGGGAGAATTGGTGTATGGAGGCAACCTCTGTCAGCACCTGTTCCTCCTAATGTACTTTTGCACATTGAAGGGAATCCTCACAATTCCCATAGTCCAGCATGGCACTTGTCTAATGGTTTGAAGCAGTGGTGCAGGAATGGCATGGAAGTGAGAGGAATGCTCTGTCCCTTGCTAGTTTGACAGGTAACAGTCCCATAACTCAGTCTGGAGAGTTTCCAATCAATTATGGGACTGGGACTCTTTAAATCCCGGAAATCCCATGCCTAGGAGCCACTGACCAGCATCTGCAACCCATGCAACTCACAACAAATTAGCTCAAGGCTATCAAGAACATGGGGTGGTGAGAGCTTTAAAATGTACCCACCTCTGCTGTGCATTCTGATTGAGGTCCAGCAGAGTCCTTCTATGAACTGAATTGGGTGGATGGTTTTTACTAACTGTTCTTTCCTCGTTATTTGGGAGGATCTCTATACTTTCCAATGTGAACAATACATCCTGCCCACCCCCTGGAAACCTGATGATAGGATGTGATGAGGCAGAATGCCAATTCTCTATCTAGATTGAAACTTTATAGATGTCTCTGGAAATCTGATCACAACAGATGAAACAAGACAGCTTATACCATCACACACAGTAATTTGAATTGAACATCTTGCTTTGTGACCAAGACATAACACCTGTATACTGGTTTAATAGAAGCCTGACTATTTTAATATTTCTAAATTTGTTAATTTAATAATCATGGTATGTTTAGCAAATTGCAGTGCCTCTGGGGTTGAACATTGTACCAAAGCTGACTTTACACAGTGTAACTGTATATGCCAACCAAATAATATTAATAATTGTTTTGTACTTAAAATCTGCTTTTTGCACCATCCCAATATTCTTGAGCTCCACTCTCTTAGCTTTTTCATTTCTTTAGCACACCTACAAGGTAAGTAATCTCTAGGGGGATATAGTGAAAAGTTTAGTTTTGTGCTGTTGAATTGGCTGAATTGGCCTACATGCAAGAAATAGGATTTCCATCAAGCCATTAAATAGATCTGAAGGCAGTATGGTATAAAAGTCCTGTGTTTGCTTTATACGTCAAAATCCTTGTGCAAAAAGAAGCTCCATGAAACTGGAGGCCAAATCAGAGTGCACAGAAAATGGGTTGAGAGTATCTGGGCTGAGTTGATATTACATTACCTGTGAAATTGTAAATAAATTTTGCAACTTAGACTTGCATTTACCACATCAGCTGATCCATTTTCAGCATCTCTGTAGTGTTATGGTCTACAGACTGGCACTGTGGGTTGGGGCTGCAGTGTGTCAATTGCAAGGCCACTTTGTGAAGAACACAACTGAAGACAAACAGTCTCACTTCTATATTGTCGATGTGCCAGTGGGATTGTATGTCAATGATTTACTCTCATCTGAAGCCCATCCTTGGTACATCCACTGCTTAATTTGCTACTTTCTGTAGCCAGGATGAGTTGTATTTACTTCATCCAGCAGAGATAATACTGAAGTTCAGTCCAACAGAAATAGTATCAGAAGTTCCAAAGTGATGTTTTGGCTGTCATGGTTAACCACGGCAGCTAAACAGTGAATGAACAGATGGAGAGTAACTATCCAGAGAAGTTTAGTGGTGTTGGACTATTGTTACAGGGCTGTTCTGATTCACCTCTTCAGTTCTGAGAGAGTCTTGATTCCTGCCTTAAGATACAGTGGGACACAATTTACAGACAAGAGATACTGTGCCGGATGCTTACATGAAAGAGATAATAATGTCTGGCTGACAGTTCCCAACAGAATGGAGGAGAGGCTCTTTGTCCTTTTTGGTACCCAAAGAGGAAGAATGGTCAGCTCTACCAGGCTTGTAGTTTGCTATAGTGAGCAAGACTGACGTTATGCACACACATAGAGTGAGAAGTGAAACCCTTTACCAGCTCTTTCAGCTGATAAAGCCACTTGGGTAGCCTGTGGCTCTCCAGATGTTATTTGATAGTTAGGTCAGCCCTAGTCACCACACCCAGTATGAGAGATGTTTACCAATTCTTGGATGGCCATAGACAGTCCATCCTTGTGTTCAACTGGCTAAAGGGAAAGCTGTTATTTAACTGCAGAGTAGTCTCTTGCACAGGTGTGAACCACCTGAACTGATGACCAAGATCCCGGTGTAAGGGCAAAGCTTAACTCTCCCCCAGATCCTCAGAAGACGTGACAGCCTGTCCCTCCATAAATTGGATAAGCATTACAGTTAGGGCTGTGTTTATTTGCCTCACTTTGTTGTATTTGCTTTTTTGACAGTGAGCTGGAAGCAAACAGTGTAGTCACTTGAAGAGAGTAAGCTCAGATGGAATAGTTATTTCTGAATATGATAGATCCTTTTCTCTCTTCTTCCCTGGTATGAAAGTTAGCATGTACGACTCAATCAGTCATAGGGAGGCTCTCAGACAAGGCTATTTCCCTTTATGGCATGTCTTCAAACATGCCTTCTTCCCTGGTATGAAAGTTAGCATGTACAACTCAGTCATAGGCTCAGACAAGGCTGTTTCCCTTTATGGCATGTTTTCAAACAAGCTATGGGGTACAATGGAAACAAGAAGGTATAAAAATGAAGGTAGGGAAGAAAAACACTTTGCCCTAAAGCACTATATTAAATAGAATAATCATCACAGATTTTAGGCACACATAGTTCTGCCATTGTTTTGGAAGGATGCTAAATCGTTGTATTTCTAAGATTGGAAATTACATGGGCTGCTTGTCCAAGGTTTCTTGATGATGATTGTTGAATGGTCATGAAATGAAGAGGGGTGATGATGGGTAAATGAATAAAACAGTAACTGGAATGGGTCAATAATATGAAAGTCAATATATGTGTACCCAGAAGCCTAATCTATTGACTCTTAACCTTGAATCTGCCTATGTTTCATTTAAAACAGAAAAAAATGAAGAAGAGGAGCAAGAAGCTAAAAGAGAACTAAAGCGCAGTCTCAGCAGAAAGGTACACAAAATGCCCTCTTCAGTGTCAATCAGTATATGTTCAGAGTCTAACGTATGCTAGATTCACTCACTGTATTGTGAGTTTTTGCAATATTGGTGTCATGGAGATACTTGAGATGCCTAGGTGATGCACTATACTTTCTAATATCCATATTCTATCTCCTACCTTGGTGGGAAAATAATGGTGTTCCGTGTCTAGTTGCGCCAGGCACGTGACCATGGAAATTGTCTATGGACAAACGCTGGCTCTACGGCTTGGAGACGGGGATGAGCACCGCGCCCTAGAGTCAGACACGACTGGACTAAATGTCAAGGGGAAACTTTACCAACTTAACATCATAGGACATCATGCCGGGCATTTCCTGCATGCAGCCCATATTGATATGAAGCAAGGAGACCCAAAGTGACTGTATCACATCACATGATAGGGAAAGAGGAAACAGAGTTACAACAGCCATGGCTCTCCAACATCAACTTTTGAAAATGCTATTCATTTTCATTCCTTAGCAGAATGCAAACCCTCCTTGAGACACATAGTAGCCTGAAGACTATCTTGCCGACTGAAACTGATTTCAATATAAAGGTATCTGTAATAAAAAAGATATGTACAACCCCATGGCTAGTTTTTCTTATGACTCATTTCCCCCTTAATAACCCCTATTCAGTTGTTTTAAAATCTGGAATGATCAAATAGTTACAGGGGAGGGGCTCTCCCTCGTTTAACACTTTGTTTACATGAGCAGCAATGAGTCTGAAGAGAAGAGTTTCCAGTGACCCTATAAAATCTTCTCTTCAGATGTCACTGTTCACATGAACAAAGCAATAAGGAAGGGGGCAGAGCCATCTTCTCCTTTTTAACCATACTGATGATTTCAGAACAATTAAATAGGAGTATGGTGTTATTATACCATATGGGGACGACAGAGGACGAGATGGTTGGACAGTGTCATCGAAGCTACCAACATGAATTTGACCAAACTCCGGGAGGCAGTGGAAGACAGGAGGGCCTGGCATGCTCTGGTCCATGGCGTCACGAAGAGTCGGACATGGCTTAACGACTAAACAACAACTGGGTGTTATCAGTCCAGACTTTGATGTGGTTTAGCCAAAAACTGCACAGTGGCTGAAATCCAGTAGTAAGTTGCAACTAGAGTAGTCCCATTAGATTAGTGACAATTTGGTGAATCGGCTCCTCTGTAAAGTCCATTGATTCAAAAGGCCTACTCTAGTTGAAGCTTATTAGTCAGCCATACTATGTTAACATTTTGTTACTAAATGGCTGATGTTTATTCCAGTGATTCTGTGTCTCATACAAAGCATCAGACTAATAATACTCTTTACCAGATTTTCCTTGTTAATTTCAAATGGTTATGTAAAGAAATATCATCTTGTTCAAATTAATCAAAATTCTGTCTTCAACTGTGTAGGGATTATTGGGTTCTCGTCATACATTTTATGATTCTAAGTACTGCCCGTTTCCTGTATTTTATGTATATTTTCTGAAGTTAGTTCTTCTCTGCTATTTGGCTTATTAAATTTCCCCTCTTTTACAGCTCAGTTTGAGACCAACAGTGGCTGAACTTCAAGCAAGAAGAATCCTTCGCTTTAATGAGTATGTGGAAGTAACAGACTCTCCAGATTATGATCGTCGTGCTGACAAGCCCTGGGCAAGGTTAACACCTGCAGACAAGGCAAGAGGCATAAACTGGCTTTTAAAACTTTGTATCCATTTCTTTAAAATTGTCTGCCCTCTGATTTTTATAATAGACTCCTGCTACTACCCACAGTTGTCATTGGTCCCAGTGAGAATAGGGGTCCATTTGAAAGGAACTAAATCTAGCTTGTTTGCATTGATCAAATAGCTCTTTAGCCATTTGTGTCTTGTCAGTCTGAGTAAAACTGGTAAGTAAAAAAAAGGTAAGATAAGCAGAGGGAGAAGAAGGAGCTTTGGCTCTCCCAAAAGCTCTACCCACACCCCTCCAGTATGTCGACTGGGCTGAGCTATTATAAATAGAGGGCATCATAGCATCCACTTGAGTAGTATAATGCCTAATGTTGGTTTAGGGAAGAGCTTTTCATATCAGCCTGGTTCACCATCTGTTTATCCCATTTTTCTCCATAGGGAGACTAATAGAAGGTAGGATCTGAACTGTAATCCTGCTAAATGACCCAAGAGGGCACAGATTTCTATTCACCACTTCCCTTTATATTCCCTGAAGAAGAAAAATAAGATACTTAGGCCTCAACTACTTTGTATTTGTTTTTTTAGTTCTAAATATTTTGCTATAGAGGCTGGAACTAGACAATATGGCTGTTGTCCAGGTGCTGCTAAAAATGGCAAAAGAAGACCTTTTCCTCCAAGTTTCATACTGATAGTAAACAGGGCTGAGGAAAAGGCATGGCCAAGGAAGTCTAGGTTACTTGTAAGAGTCCCATCTGAGAAGCAAATGAGTAGGACAAAAATAAGGTATGTTGGGTTGAACTAGTGTAGAGTTACGGTTGCTATTGTATGCTGCTAGTCCTCCTCATATGGAGAATGCTTACACATAAGAAGCCCTTCTTTACTTCTGAGGAATCCTTTGCTACAGCCTGATAGATCTCCTGAGCATGGGTATTCTGGCCTGCCTCTTAAGATACTATAACCGTTGAAGGCTTTTTGGTTGTTCTGCTTCTGAAGCAGTGCACTTTTCATTGGGGAAGTGGGGTGAGAGAGCCTTTGACAGATTGCCCAAGGGCCCAGTCTCCCCCTCAGCTATTGTCATGGGCGTGTGAAGATTCTCAGTCATCCAGGTGAGGTTATCTGGAAGATGACTCATGGCAAGTGGACTTCTTTCCTATTAGGTTGAAAGGTAAAGGTTCCTCTTGACAATTTTTGTCCAGTCGTGTTCGACTCTAGGGGGCGGTGCTCATCCCCGTTTCCAAGCCATAGAGCCAGCGTTTTGTCCGAAGACAATCTTCCGTGGTCACATGGCCAGTGTGACTTAGACACGGAACGCTGTTACCTTCCCACCGAGGTGGTCCCTATTTATCTACTGGCATTTGCATGCTTTCGAACCGCTAGGTTGAAACATTTCATTATTTGTCCAGGTAGTTTCTTTACTCTGAAGAGAGTTGGTAGGAGACCCCTGATATATTCTTCATGCTAGTTTCACTTCCCTCTGGTCTGAATCGGTTCATTAGATGGACAAAGGACTGTGGATGAGTGAAAATCCCACTCAGGGACCTCCTACCAACTCTCCTCAGACTGAAGAAGCTACTTGGATGAGTAGCAAAACATTTCAACCTAATAGGAAAGAAGTCCAGTTGCCATGACTCAACTTCCAGATTGTCATGGGTGGTTTGTGCTCTTAACTCATTTCTGGGAGTCCTGGCTTTTCCGGGGAGGAATCCCCCAGTGGGGGTAGGACATCCACCACCACTACTCCACTCCATTGTCAGGCTTGGAGAAGCAAGGGAATACAAAGCAATGTTGCTTTACTAGACATTACCACAGTGAAGAGGAGAAAAATATATGTTTAAGATCAAAGTCTTGTACCTTCTAGTAATATGTTGCATTCACCAGCTACCCTGGCCACTATGATGTATTACATGAAACATGAGAAAGGAATGCATGAGCAGAAAGTCCTGGTTATGCCAAGGTTCTCAGTTGCGTGGAGGGAGCCTAGAGGCATTCTCATGATGGCCTAATGTGCTAAAACAGGAGATATCTATGCCAGTTCTTAACTTTTCATGTGCTATATTGCTGAAACAATGTGTTTCAGGTTTATCACAAGAGTTAAACAAGTTAATATTCTGGTGAAACAGGAAGCTGTGTCATTGTTGTGACACAGTGTAATCATTGTATAATACTGTAATTCTGTCTTGCTCAGAAATATCAGTACTTCTAATTAGGTGCTTTTTATAAAGATTATTAGAATATATTATTGGTATCCTCAGGAAACAAACATAGAGTAGAAGTACTGCTGATTTTCAGAGAGCAATCAGGTCTGAAAGTGGTGATTATTTTGTAATGAAAGTAGCTGTGGTAATACCTGTATGAAGGTAACCAGCCTTCTAATTACTGGTGAATAAAGAAGTATCCAATTGATTGCTGTCTGCAGTTTTAATGTCAGTGCCCATTATCCCTGTAAAATACATTGAATGGCTGTTGTGTGTTAACATATGCTATTGGAAGACAAAGGTCTGGAGTATCCTCATGTTACCTGAAACTGAATTGGCAGCTAGTGTCTAGATGAGAAGTATTGTTTGTCTTGCATGTCTAGTAGTCATCTGCATATCTGTGGCTCGGGAATCACAGATAGTCTAGTCATCAGAAAAGGGAAGAATATTACAGTCTGAGCAACTGCTGTGCATGATATGCTAGTCATCCATAGGTTGCAATCTCTCTTCCAGCTGCACTTTAAACAGTTGGCTGGTTAGAGTGATACGTTCTCTCTCTGCCACTGCCTTCCGCAATACCTTTCATACCCACATTTCCTGTTGGAATATCTCTATGATGAGCAATAAATCCTGTTTTAAATATAGAATATGAAAACAATATGTGATTTGATGCAACACAGGAGCACTCTTGTGTGCCATCTCCTATGGTTAGGGAATCACAAGCTTAGAAGAAGAGAAATGACCTTATAGGCCCCTTCCAACTTCATTATTCTATGATTCTGTGAAATATCTCTACCCTAAGATGCAGGTGTGTTGAAGTCCTTTGAGCAGCTCAGTGGTGCCCACATTTTGACAGCTGTAGCACAACTGTTCCAAAGCTGTCTGTATTATATGTAGAGCTTGGAAACTGCAATATTTTTATTTTACTAGAACTTTTGTTTTACTTAGAACCTTTCAGTTAGCAGCATTGTTTGCCATGCTGGCTGGGGGACTGTGGATGCTATCATCCAGAAAAGTAAGTTTCTCAAGCTCTGGACTAATAAGAGGACTTATAGCACACTAATATGTTGGTATTTGTCCCATTTCTTAGCTACCTTTCAAGATCATCATGATTTTCTCAAGCTGGATACAATGGTAATTTAAAAAAGGAGAGTATTCTCTCTCCTCCATGAACTGTATTGGGAGAAACATACTGTCTACAGACTAACTGGTTTTAAATCTATGGATCCATTGCTGACTAACAGTAATTAAGGGCTACTTCACGTGACTTTACTTTTCTACAGAATGTGAATTCTGAATTCAGCTGTGGGTTTTAAAGCCCAATGTTAGTTTTGGAGCAGTAGTTTCTCTTGACATACAATACTTTGTGACGTACTTGAAATGCCATGACACATCTCCACATGGCAGACCAGTCATCTTTACTAAATATTTGACTGTACTAGGATGAGAAAGAACAAAAGTAAGAGAAGAGTCAGTTTAGACCATCAGGCAGAAAATATCCCTTGGTCCTTTCCTGAATGGCCACCAGTGCCCACGGTATCTTATAAGATTACTGTAAAGACATATATTGCTGTAAAAACTCACAATAAATTATATCTGAAATTCTATTAAATATCACATTTTCAAAAACAGAATGAACACAATGTAAAAACCATAAACACAATGAAAAATAAGCACGGCACCTAGCGTTACAAAGAAGCACGGTACCCAACTTGTTCAACCATCAGTCAGCGGCCAAATGGTTGCCTAAAGAAAATGTCTTTGCTTGCTGGCAGAAAAGCAGGGTGGGAATCTGTCTCGCCTCCCTCATAAGGGAATTTGATTTTATTGTATAGGTCCAATATTTTGCAACATTAACAGTATTTTATTGTTTCCATTTAAGGGGAACCTGATTTCATTTTTTTAAAATGTTTTAATTAGGCAGCAATACGAAAAGAATTAAATGAATTTAAAAGCACCGAAATGGAAGTGCATGAAGAGAGTCGACAGTTTACAAGGTAAGGAATGAATGGCTTTTTATCATTAAGTCACATAGAGTTGCTTGCCTTCTCTTTTTTTAAAGATTGACAGAAACTTCCAGCATTAGACCATTGCTCATTTCCTAATGAAAACATGGGGATGCAAAAATTAGCCATATGATCCATTCATACAAGCAAGGTTCTGGATTGGGCCGTACATTTATTAGGTCAATAAAAAGCTACAAAAGCTGAGGACTGGGCCTTAAACAGGGCAGTTGCCAGATATGCAGACCAGTCCAAACTTTTCTTTAAAGAGGTGGGAGCCTGTAAATGGATGCCTTGTTGCTTCTGCCTGAAACTGCATTTTGTTACAGCCTGACCCCATGAGCCATGGCCATCGCATTCTGGCCCAGGTTTTGGATGTTCTTCTCGAACTCCCAAGTTTTCACAACCTTTGCCTGATAAAAAGTTCTGCAAAGCTCAAAAGCTCTTACAACATTTTATTAACCCAGTAAAGGCATTGCTTAATCCAGAATGTTGCTGGATTAAGAAATGCCTTTCTTGCTGTTTTTTATTTGTGCTATTGATTAGTGTCTGTAGCAATTATATACTTTGTTTTATATTTTTGTTGTACACCACTCAGATAGCAATTGGCTAGATGAGTGGTATATAAATTAAACAAACAAACAAACTGTGATAAAAATGGAAATTTTCTACAGGTATCTGATAGCCAAGATAGTAACTAATATTAGTTAGTTGATTTCCAGTTACCTGGTTTCCTGTTGAATGATGAATTAAGTTCGTTCGTGACTTTGGAGCAGACTGTTCTGAACCTTGAAATGAAAATTTATCTTGCGTCTTAGTGAGATTGCTATATAAAAGTCACATACAACTTGTGACTTACCTCATTGGATACAGGACCTTACATTATAGCATTGCAGGTGTTTGACAATTGATATTCTGACAGATGGCCACTTTGTCTTTGACACTGTTCTCCAGTTCTTTGCCTGTGGGCTTGCCCTGACGTAGTACAGTGGTGCCTCGCATAGCGAGGTTAATCTGTTCCGGATTAACCTTCGCTATGCTGAAGCATCGCTGAACGGGGCAGGGATTTCCATTGGAACGCATTAAACATCGTTTAATGCGTTCCAAATGGGCCAAATACTCACCGTTCAGCGATGCTTCAGGATGGCCGGCAGCCATTTTCGCGCCCTCGCCTCGCTTAACGAGGGCGCGAAAACGCTGTGCGCGGCCATTTTGGGCCATTTCCAGGCTTCCGGCGGCCAAAATGGCCGCCGAACAGCTGATCGTCGGGGGTCGTTTTGCGAAGATCGGTAAGCGAAACGCTTTCCGGTCTTCGCAAAGCGAATTTTGCCCCATTAAAAAAACGTTGAGCGATCGCATTAACGATCCGAAAAAACGGATCGCTATGCGATTTCATCGTTATACGGTGCGCTCGTTAAGCGAGGCACCACTGTATATGTACATCTCACATTCATATTAGGACTTACGGGAGATAGGGGCTTTTCAGAAATTTCCATCAGGAGGCAAAAATGAAAAGGTCCCTCAGTCTTATTGGACAGAGAGGGTTATATGAATATAGCATCAGTGTGATGTGTGGCTCGTATCTGAGATGGTGCGCTGTCTTCTCAACAATGCTGCTGTTATTATAATGTTACTACTGCTACTTCTAAGAGTACACAGAACTACAGTTAATAATACTGGGCCAATGGTAACCAAGCTGTGTTGTGGAAAAGGCATATTGAATATTATCTATTCCCAGCATAGCAGCACCAGCCCCTTTTGCCCTGTCAGTGCGATGCTCTAGATCATTTTACAGCATTGCCTTGATGCACTTCTCCTTTGTCAGAGCAGGTGATTCGGTTTCTGAGATCTGTTGGCCAAGAAATGTCATGTTCAGCTTAGCCTGCTTTTTTATACTATACTGTAAATATTGGGGTTTATACATGCATGCTAAGCTAATGGAATGTTAGCTAAATACAGATAAAAGAAAGGATTTGAAATATTTCACAATGTAGTGCTTCTGAGGGACTTTTTAAAATATAGGGATGATAAAAATATTCCTGCACCCCCACTTCCAGAGAAATTCAGATTCATATGCTGCAGAGACAGGAAATACAAGGCAATGGTGCTTCCCTTCTGTCAGCTCTCTAATCTCCAAAGCAATTCCAGTTTCTTAATTTAAGGCAGTGAGCATTGTAAGGAGGCATCTTGCTATTACATGTAAAAGCTTTTTCAGACCACATCATAGAAAAGGTTTCCAACAAAGCCATTTCCCCTTTTTAGGGATCAAAATTAATTACAAGTTTTGAAGCCTTTTTAAACCTTTCGTGAACATTCAGCTTCCAGCTTCTTAATCCCTGTAGTTATTAAAACACAATCCCTGCATACTGAAAGCCACATGGTAAGGAAACATTTTATATGAGGGGCGTGTATGTGTACACATGGATATTCCACCATCAGAATGTACAGTGGTGCCTCGCTTGATGACGTTAATGCGATCGCAAAAACATCATCGTGAAGCGGATTCGTCGTTATACGGGCTAATCGTTAAGCAGGGCACGACTGTAAATGTTTTGACTGTTTAAACTGGTCTGACTTTTCTGAAGCAGAACAAGATGGAGGGGGAAAGATACTGAAAAAAATTTATTTTTATTTACTTTTAGATTTTATTTTATTTACCATTTTTATTTTATTTACTGCAGGTTTCACCGTCCATAATTGTTTGAAAATATCCTGTAGTCCAGACACAACTTCCTTCTTGGGAAAAGCACATAAGATCTGAGAGTGCACTGCACCTGAAATGACTGTGCCAGGTTAACCTGACATCACTGAATGATACAATCTTCACCTTTAACAAAAGGCATGACTTTGGAGAGACCCTGAGTGAGAAGTAGGACCCCAGAGAAGAAATGAAACAGCCTATGGAGACCTTCTTGCTGGCTATTGTTTTGTTTTGTTTTGTTTTGAGATTAGAACCTGGCCAGAGGGAAAGGGGAAATAATTTTTAATAGGAGGTAATAAAAAAATACAGTGGTGCCTCACTTAGCAATGTTAATTTGTTCCATCGCTAAGCGAAACGCGGTTTCCCATTGAAATGCATTGAAAACTGGATAATCTGTTCCAATAGGAACGAATTGCCGTCCTTAAGCGAAAATCGCCATAGGAAACATCACTAAGCGAAACGCGGTTCCCCAATTGAAATGCATTGAAACCTATTCAATGCATCTCAGTGGGGGGGAAAATACTACAAAAAAATTTGGTTAACAAAGGATTTATTAAGTGCACTTTATGATTTCAAACATTTTAAACAGTAAACTTTAACTTTATAAATAACAGAAAAACATTTAAAAAACAGCAAACATGAGTCTATTTAAACCATCGTTAAGTGAAACAGGGGACCCAAAATTTAATCACTATGCAAAGCATGGTCCCAACCATCGCTAAGCGAAAATCACCCAGAGGGGACCATAGCTAAACGAAGCGCAAAAACGCTCCGAAAAAGTTGTTGCTAAGCCATTTCATCACTAAATGGAACGCCCGTTAAGCGAGGCACCACTGTATGTCAAATAGGGTGACAACAGACAGAAGTGAGTTTCTACATGTTGGGCAACACGAAGAGCAAAACGACTAGCATTCTTGATGCAGGTAATTTAATGCTGTATTAGGATATTGAACAGATTCTTAAAAGTGCAAATCCAGGAATATGAACAGTTCTGTGTGTGATAGTCCAATGTCCACAGCTTTTTGTAGCTTGGTGAAGAGCTACAAAGTACTCTTTCCATAAACAGCACTTAGAGCAAGTAATCTAGTGTAGTGCCAGCAAATTTGCCAGTTAAATTGCCCTAGCAAAATTCATAGTTGCTTTTAGAAATCATGGCTGTCATGCATTCAAAATGTTTACTGAGAATATAATCTTGAGCATAGTTATAATATTATAAGGTGCAGAAACGCCAGTTGAATGTTTGAGTATGTATCTATGCACAAGATTACAACATAATAATATTATGAAGATAACCCTTGATCCTGCATAATCTTGTATCAATATAAAAAAAGAAAGTACATGAGACAAAACGCAATTAAAATATGTGGAATTTGAAAGGTCTTTTAAAATCTGCTTTTTAAGATTACTTGCCAAAGTGATGACTTCTAACCTTGTTTAGTCAGATAGTTGTTGCTATTGTTTAGTCATTAAGTCATGTCCTACTCTTCTTGACCCCATGGACCAGAGCACGCCAGGCCCTCCTGTCTTCCACTGCCTCCCAGAGTTTGGTCAAATTCATGTAGATAGCTTCAATGACATTGTCCAGCCATCTTGTCCTCTGTCGTCCCCTTCTCCTCTTACCTTCACATTTTCCCAATATCAGGGTCTTTTCCAGGGAGTCTTCTCTTCTCATGAGATGGCCAAAGTATTGGAATCTCACTTTCAGGATTTGTCCTTCCAGTGAGCACTGCAGGTAGTCAGATAGTACTGACAATCAAATTCTGAAGCCAAACTCCAAAACAAAGCATATTGAACAGGTTTGGACTATAACTAGTAATATGCCCTCCTTTTTTTGAGCTTGAACTACATTTGATAGCTTCCAGAGTAGTTCACATAAGCCTAGATACTGAATCTCAGAGGAGCACCAAGGCTTTCTCCTCAGCATACACCGCACTGCGCTGCTACTGTGTGCGGTCATACTAGTAACTGGCTATTCCAGATCAGAAAGTGGCAAAGCAGGAATTATTTTTCGAATGAAAAGGCATTGGCAAGCCACATGGCATATATGGGCATTACAGTGCCTCTGTGTTTGGGACTACAGTATTTACAAAGAAAGCTATTGTGGTTGTGACCCTTCTCTGTAAAGACTGCATGTGCACATAGAGGAAATGTCTTTGAACAGAATAGCTTTATTTCCCCCTGACCCTGCTTTCCTCCATTTGACAAGTATGCACAGGCTGGTCTGGGCAATGTGTGCATCTCCTAAATCTTTGCCCACCCTGCTGTCTCCACTTGGGTCAAGGCTTTCCCCTTGAAAGAACCCTGTGAACTAAGAACTACCCATGTACCAAGGCAGTAAAGGGGGAAACCCAGAACTGTTGTGCCCTACCAGAGCCTATCAGTGTATGGGCTCTGTGCCATTAAGGAGAATTATAATGCCATAGGTATATCTGTAAAATCCTCACAAAGGGCCTTGTGAAAGCTACAGATGAGTCTTGAAACCTAAAAGCCTGTATTTGTTGCCTGTGAATAATGCGGAACAACTGTCTACTTTTATACTATGTTGTAATTTTATTTGTGAAAACATGGTGAATTTAAATAGTATAAGGTGGTGTGAAAGGCAGTATGTGCTTTATTATGTTGGCCCTAAATAAGATGGCTTAGTATAAGCCTATGACATTGTTTACACTAAAGTTGTCTTATATGAGCACTTATTTATCCTTTTAATGTACATGGTTAAACTCCTGGCCTGAAGTACACAAGGGCATGTATTGCAGTATTACAATATATATGTGCTATTTATCCTTTTTAATATATGTACATACTACAATTTATTTTTGACCATGTGCCCTGTTTAGTTCTTAATTATAAAAGATATGTATTTTTTTCAGACAATAAATGGTCTCCAGTTGTGTGTGTTTTTTTTAACAGTAGAATTTGTGCTTTATTCTTTGGGGAACTCTTAGTTATAAAAATAAACATGAGTTAACAGTGCAGTCTTAAATATTTCTGACCAAAAGTAAGCCTGACTGAATTTAGTAGAAATTTACTCCGAGACAATTGTGTATCAGAGTGCACTATGAGAACTTTAAAAAGAAAAATCATTAATTGCCTAATAATACTTCAGCATATTCCTTACCAGTACTGTATTATATTTGTATTAAGTGCAATGAACTGTATTCTTGTTTTTCTAAGGTTAAAGGATGTGACATTTTCTAATGCTGTGGTATTTATAGCAACTGATACATACCCACAAGTTTTTAGCTTCTAAATGTTGGGAAGGAACACAAAAGTGTTAGTGAGTAGTATTAACAACCTAATGGAACAGCAAATAAAACAACCGGTATATATTTGCCTCTTTATTGCAGTTTTTTAGATGGATTAAGAAATAAAGTAGAACAGTTACTGCTGTATTATACCATACAATGATCAGTTGGCGCTGATCATGTTTGAGAAACATGTTGGAAAGCTTGACTTGTGGCTCTACACTGGCAGGAAAGAGAGCCATCAACAGGAAGAAATCAGCAGGTGGTATCTTCCCAGAACTTCAGTTTCATACGGAAAAGGCTTCATACACCAGTTTGTTAGATTACAATTGGGGGCCAGACTATCCACTCACCATTCTGCCGCGGACACACCCCCCAACAGGTGGAAATAATGAGGGTCCAACCTCATGGGGCCAAACTATCCGCTCATCATTCTGCCGCGGACGCACACTCGATGGAGCCTTCCTATTGCGCTGTTGTCCGCAATGGATTAGCTACTCTGCAACCTGGCAGAGAGGCTTGTCATCCCGCCTCCTGCCAGGAGTGGCTAATCCACTGCAGACAACGGTGCGATAGGAAGGCTCTGTTGAGCGCGTGTCCGTGGCAGCATGGTAAGTGGACAGTCCAGCCCCACGAGGTTAGACCCTCATTTCCACCTGTGGGGGGTATTCATATATGAATATGAATACATTCATTTCTAATTACAATCTGGGGGTCCTCCCTGTTTCCCTGACAACTGCACAATCATGAAGGAACACCCTTCTCTTGCCCTGATCTCACTGCTCACTCACCAAGTGAAGCAGATAACACAGGAGGACAGTGTAGGCAATATGATTAAGCATAAAGACAGAAACATGGTCAGCATCATCTTTAGCTGCTTCAGGGCTGTTAAATGCCAATAGGCTATAATACTTGTATGTGCACATAGAATCTGAGCTGTGATATGGCAAGTCTGTTTACAGGGCTCTTGAATGTCAGAAGAATGGCTGGTAGCCCTAAATTATTAACAATATTTTAGACACTCTAGTAAGAATTCAGGCAGTCACCTAAACATAGAGATCAGGAGAATTTGCTTATTCTGGATTTATTTCTTAAGCAGTGTAATTTCCCCCCAAAAAACTTAATAATGTTTGAAAATAGAGGAAAAAATAAAATTAATGAAAATGTAATACTTCAAATAAGTGTAAGTAGGTAGCTTTTTATGTGGGTTTGCACTGCTTCAGAGTTTGTATAGATAGTTGTCTTGTGGGTACTATCCTGTTTCTCCGAAAATAAGACCTAACCTGAAAATAAGCCCTAGTATGATTTTTCAGGATGCTCGTAAGGTAAGTCATAACCCCCAAATAAGCCCCAGACTGTATTTCAAAATAAGCCCCAGTCAAGTGAAACCCCACCCTCCACTACTGTGCGGCAACCAGAAGAAGGTGACATGACTGTTATTTGAATAAATGTAGATTGTTGTACATGAAAAAAAAAACATTCCCAGAAAATAAGCCCTGTATTTTTATGAACTGTTGCAGTATAAAGGAAAATAATGCAGATGGAAGCACTTCAGTAGCCAACTGCATGCAGCTCAGCAAGAATAAACCAAGCTCATAGTAACCTGAGTCTCATAAGAAAAAGGCTGAAAAAGAGGTTGAATAATAGCCATGCTAATCTTCAGAGAAATCAGCATAAGAAAGACATCTCAGCCATGTCAGATGAAAACTGGTTAACTATAAGGAATCATGGTTTGACCCTGTTTCAGTTCACTGTTGAAACAGCATCAAAAAATTCAGTGGATACATGAAAAAAAGCATGATCATTTTCCAAACCAGTTCTTATGCTTTGCAAGCTGGCATGGTATGTAAGGATGGTTTGTCACTAGGGCCCTTTAATGCTACAGATAGAGGCTTGTTTTCAGATTACTGAAAACAGAATTAAAGTACAGTGGAACCTCTACTTATGAACGTCCGTCCCTACCTATGAATGATCCAACTTACGAACAGCTCTGGCTGCAAAATTTTGCTTCTACTTGTGGCCGGAGCTTCAAGATACGAATGAAAAAAGGTAGGGGAAAAGGGCGGGAAATTCAAACTGTTGGTGGCGAAGAGGCTGCTTCTTT